CTCTGCTCGGAGAACTCGACGCCCTTGTCCCCTCCGCCCTCCCAGCGGCGGAGGTCGACCCAGATCTCCGCCCCGTCTGGCGCTCCTGAGAGATTGAACCTCTCGAACCCCACGGCCTCGTACACCCCGACCCCCTTGGGCGACGCCTCCAGCATGCTCGGCCACCCGCGCGCGTCGGCCTCGGCGCACGCGTGCCGCATCAGCATCGACCCGGCGCCGCGGCGGTGGTGTCTCGGGTCCGTGTACAGGTTGTCCACGAGGATGTGGGGGCCCAGGAGGGCAGTGAGCTGCCGTCGCGAGGCGACCAGTTGGGACCAGAACGACGCGGCGAGCGCGGAGTGCGTGGAGGCGGGCCAGGGGCGGTCGGTCGTTGTGGATGATGAGGTGGAGGATGGTGGTGGTGGAGCGGGTTCGTCCTCGGTGTGACTCTCGGTGGTGTTGGTATCGGTGTTTGTGTCGTTGTCGTTGATGTAGTACTTGATGGCGGCGATGACCTTGCCCTTGATCTTTCCGTTGCCCTCCTTTCTCGTCCTCTGGCCTTTCCCCGTCATCCCATCCCTCTCCGTCTCGCCCACCACCGCCTCATCGTCATCATTCTCATCCCCATCCTCAACCAGACTATCATCCACCACGACCGCGAACCGACAATTCCCCTCGTTGGAAAAAGCCTGCGAATGCCGCTCCACCATCGACGCGATATACCCCGGGTACGCCTCCGGGGGCCCGTGGTAGATGGCCCGCATGAGCGGCACGGTCAGCCAGGCCACGAGGTGAATCCGCGCGATGGCCGGGATGTACTGGTGGTCGAGGGGGTTGGAGGGAGAGAGTTGGTGGACATGTAGAGGCATTCTTTTTTTTTCTCGTTGAAAGAAGAAGAACAAAATATTCTTGGTTGTTTGTTCTTGTCTGGGCCGTGTGTGTGTGTGAGAGTGATGATGTGCTGTCCAGCTGAGGTTTTGTGTCGCTGTGAAAGTGTGTCGTGCGCGCGTAGGAGCCTTTTTTTTCTGCAATGTTCGATGTTTTAACGTCTAATGTTCCCCCTTTTTGTCCCTCTGTCTCTCTTCTGTCGAGTATGTAGCTCGATATCTTAATATATATGATTCGTGTATAACCAGATACGTAAATGTCCCACGGGATAATTATATTTAGACTGAATTTTTATGGTACGTCGTAGTGGTTCTCTGTAGATATTTATATGTACTCATGTACCTAGGGACTACTAGGTTACTTTTCCGAGGGGGAAGGGACCCATGAAAAACCCCAAAGTCAAATAGATGACGAGATGGGACGAGGGTTACATCGGCCAACGAGGCAGCCAGTGAACGGAAACTGAGTCGAATTTGAAGATCGATTTTATGCGGTTTTCTTTTACTCGTGTAAATTCTCCCATAGGGTAAGGAAGGGACTTTGAAAAGAGATTGGAGGTGGCTTGTTGCTCAGACCTGTCTATCGACTTGTTACCTACTGAAGTATCGAGGTGTAACGTGACTCGATCCACTATAATACACCGGCCAGCCCAGTGTTAAGATACCCCTGCATGCGTATGGTGCATTGTATGGGTGTATGTAGATGTAGTCCATATTGACCCACCGCCTTAGATACGAGTGATCAGTTCCACGTCTGTAGCAGAGCGGAGCGGAGCACACTAAAGCGCTCGTTGTATGTATTCACGGACAGGAGGTGGAAGAGAAAGAGGGCACGGGAGGGCGAGGGTTTGCAATTCAGCATTTTGTGCGTGCATGTGCGAGTATATATATCTAATGATGGCGTATTACTGGGCTGTTGGTCCGGTTGTTCCTCCAGGTCATGGCGAGGTGACGAGAGAGGGCGAAGAGAGGGAGGCAATGCCAATGCAATGTGATGCTGGGCCGTCCATCTCGCTCAATTCGACTTCATCCTATACTTCCCGTGTCTTCAGTGACGTCAAGGCCATGCGATGCCATGCGATGCCATGCTCATGACTGAGGATCGTGTGTTGGCGACGGCTCAGAGCCCCTCCATTGCTGTAGACTCCGCAGAGTCTTTTTATCCGCGCCGTAGAGGTAATATCCTCTCAGACACGAAGTGAGTCTATCCAGATTCTTGTCTCTTGACCTTTCACTGGGTTGTGATGTGGACGTATTGGGGGCTTCACCTCCTCTTCCAGTATCGGGACCTCTCGTCACTGGTCGCGTCTCTCCCCCAGAATCTATCCCCGTATTATCGTCCCTGTGGGTAGAAAGTCGGGTCTCGTCATCATCGCTGTCCTTCGCCATCCATTCGATCAGGTGTCCCATGAACGGGATCTCGAGTCGCCACGGACTGAAACTCGAGGCGGATCCAATCGCCACCATGGTCCACAGCGTCACCTCGCGCTCGGTGACGGATGTTGGATCGTCTGGGTTGCTGGGCTGCGACAGTTCCAGCGCCACGGTTGACAAGATCTCTAGATATGGATGGTGACTCTTGGTCGTTGTATCGCCAGGCGGCGACGTAGAGGACGAGGTCGGTGATGAAGAAGGCCTCTTCGCTTGATGGACTAGGTGTGGTTGGTTGTGGAAGTTGAAAATATAGATCAGTAACGCGAGCAAGACTCGATGGTGCAGTGACTGTGGTCCAACTTCTTCCGCGATGCGAAGGACGCGACTCATTTCACTATAGTCCTGATCGAGAGATTGCAAGCCCTTGTCCTCATCCTTCTCGCCCCCTTCACCTTGACTGCCACCGCGAAAGCATTGTGGCTCACTCGGAACTTGCCTGAAAATCCGCAGGAGTATATGGAGCGCATGGGACGTGATCAGGCTTTTGCTGGCCAACACCGTAAAGAGCCCCTGGAATGCTCCCATTTGTGTCGGCTGGATGGGACGGTCTTCTTTGAATCTGACCAAGACATCATCGTCGTCGGTGAGTTCGCACACGAATCTGCCGTGCAGGAGAAGCGGTAAGAAGAATTCGCTCCTACTCAAACATGCATTAATTAGTGCCCTTGGAGAATGGGTGCGGAATCACAGACTTTAACAGCTCGTCCTGTAACTCGGCGCTCAGCTTGCGTATACCACCTCTTGTCGACACCATTCTCTCTTTAGCCCGTTTGTGCATTGCATAAGCATGAAGGTCGCCATGTGCCGCCTGCTCGGTCAGAATATTGCTATTCATCCTACAACCGCACGACGAGGCACTTACATCGACATCCATCAGCCACAAGGCGGTCAAGATGGCAGCATCATCGTCTGCGCTCCGGGCCGTTTCCACTTTGTACCTGAGCTGCTTCAATGCTTCACCTCGGTGGTACAACGCCGTCCAGTGGGTGGTGCCGAACCCCTTGACATCGATGTTGTAGTACACCTGACTTAAGGCGATCAGGGCGTGAAACATCTCAGAGTTCTGCATCGCCACATTGAACCAAATGAGATATCGGCTGGTTTCGACCGCGAGCGCAGGACTGAACCGCGGAGTGAGAAATCGGATGACTGGAGTGGTAGGCTCTCGTTAGCAGTGCACCCCATTGATAGATGAAGCTTTCGCTCCCTGATTGCTGTAGGGCTCAAATGCAAAAGATGAAACATCGTCGTAACCGGAAAAATGGTACGAGACAAATGCGTCGTCCCATGTGTAGCGCCTGACTTGAGAAGACTTACAATAATCCACCAAAAAGGGCACATAAGTTGCGTGGCGGATGGGGTAGGTGGTGAAGGGGTCTGCCATCGGACTTCCCAGCACGCAATCATTTCGCAACTGAGGTTCTCGAGGAGGAGATACCTCTTCCGGGCTCATCGAGGTTAACCCTTGCTTCCTGGTAGGCAGTTTCTTCTTTTCGGTGCTAGGAGCGGTAGGCGGCGGTGTCCCTCCATCGGGTCGCCGCACAAAGGGACGGTAGAGCGTCCGATCCAGAACAATGCGCTTTGAGGTTGGCCGGTAGCTTTTCGAGGCAAACGACGAGACGGCACGGCGATTCTGCCTGCTCTTCAGGTCGGTCGGGTTGTTGTATGTGATGAAAATGGTGTTCTGGGACGCAGGAGGCATTTGGGTGTTGACCTCGCGGGACAAGAATCCTTTGTCTAAACAGTCTGTAAAAGGTGTTGTCGTCGAGCAGGAGGAACGGCGGTTGATCTGCAAAGAGGACTTTGTGTTCAATAACACCTTTGACCAGCAACCAGCTCTTGAAGTGAGAGTGCCTCCATCGCACTGTGCTCAGGAGGAGGCTAAATGTTTGTCGCTGCGCAATCAGACGTCGAGGAGGTAGACAAGTTTGTATTGTTTCAGCCCCCGGAGTTCTATCGTGCGTACGCCGCCCAGCTGTTTCCCCACCGTCTATTAAAGCCTTGCCGGTGGCGCAAGTAGAATGAGGAGATGTCTGGTCGTTCGAGTCTGATCTTTGAAGAAGGCTGATGCGACTTGCAGCGAATGTGTCCCAGAATCACTGACCCTGCACGCCACGGTGAGCGATTCCATGAGAAATTGGAGTAGGCCTAAGGAGTGGAGCATCCGATTCCAAGGGCCTGAACCGAGTAAAGAGGATTAAACGAGTGTATTATGGACAAGTATTGTTTCGAATCGTGTCGGTCGTGTCGCTTTGAGCCCAAAGAAAAAATCACGTAAGCGGGTTGCATTATGAAATGGGGACCGCAAAGAGGCGCCACCATCGAGATTCGGCCCTACAAGAGGGGCCTACAAAGGTACCTTGTACGAGTGGGCTTATGCTTACAGCGCTACATCTGGTCCTTTTGGCCATTACTTCATCGTAAGCCACTGGCGCCGCAGCTTCGGAGCAGGGTTCTACAAATGAGACGTGACAAAGCTACAACAAGGAACAGACAGACAAAAGACATGCCCAAAGGTCACAAGATCGATTTTTGGCTTGATTGGCAATGACGCTCGCTCGCAATAACATTGGTGAATATGCCCGGAGTGAGAACGCCGATGGCCATAACACCGGCCGACATCTTTGTATAAACATATCATTCCTGTGGACTCCAGGACAAGTTGATGTGACGAGTAATCCACCGAATTGTCTATCCCACTCATTCTTCTGCCCACCTTCTTTCTCGAAGAGGCATCTCAATGCCTTGTTGTGCCCGGCTGCCACTCTCTTCCGCCCTCCAGGCATAATATTCACCTAGCCGAACCTCAGCATACGAAGCATAATCGAAATCGATCTCGGAAATGGTCGCCTGGATCAGAGCCCAGACTCCCCAATAGAAGCCCGGCATGCCCCGATATCGGTCAACTTCATCGCACAAAACATCCAGCATGTTGTCAGCAACCGGCACGTCGCTGTGGGCTTTGTACGACCTGAGATAGTCTTGGAGGAATTGGCGGCGTGTGGATCGGGTTGGCAGCATGTTGTAATCACAGTCATAGCCACCCCATTCGGCAAAATGGTTGGCGATATCGAAAGCTGCAGGACAAGGCGTGGCATATTCGTAGTCAATAAAGGAGACCTGCATCGAGTCACCCGCCTTACTACTGGCACAGTCGGTTGGCAGCATGATAACGTTTGCACTTAAGAGGTCGCAATGTCCAAAGACGAAGCCTGACGAGCCGGGACCTCGCTCATTGTCCAGGTCATGGAACGATCGATCTAGTTCTTTCTGGAGCAGTTCCTTGCGTGCCTCTTTCTTTGGAGTGTCGCAGGGAAGAGCGGTAACCCATTTCTGCATTACTGACCAGATATTTGGTACAGGCCGCCTCGAAGCAAGACTACCACTCGGAGTATGGCCATTGGCGCCGCTTGAGGCCTCCTTCTTCTCCTCTTCTGCCACGGCGGCAATAGGCAGCCGTGCATGCCACTCACCTAAGCGCTTAGCAACCGCGCGCCATGTAGGTTCGCTGATCAGGTCTCGAGGAGTACAGACTTGACCAATGATGAATCTGTATAGAAGTCCATTCTTGAATCTTGCCAATAGGGGAGGGGCCAATCCCCGTTCTGCGCACAAAGCATGTGATCGGGCCTCTCGATCTCGGTCGATGATGATCTCGGTGTGGTTGCCATAGGCACGTAGGAGGACAGAGTCACGGTCGATCTCAGCTTCAGAAAGCCCTGGAATGCGGTTCGATATCTTGAGCAGCTAGATACCAGTCATGAGCAAGGGGCACGTGCCTGACCAAGTGAAGCAAGAGAACCCACAGTATTGGTGATACCATCAGTGAATTTGACAATTTCAAGTTTGCCTGGACTGTCCCTCCATTTGGGCTGTATTCTGTAGACTAAGTCGCGAGCCGAGTCGTCCAAAGACTCGTTATCAAAAGCCAGATCGATGTATTGCAGGCGCGGGCGGTGGCCATTGGAGTAGTCAGTGGGGGATTGCATGTCCGCACATGCCCCGTTGACGGGAGGAGATTGACCGATGTCAGGCAGGACGATAAGGATGTGACGATGGAGATATGGACAATTCCTCACGGGGAAGTAGAACAGGAGGATGTAGAGGAGAAATAGACGGGCGAGGACTTCAGGGACAATGGGTTGTGATGGGCAAAGTTGGAGGAGTTGTAGTTTCTTGGTGTGCGATGTGGGTGCGCACTAGTTACGCAGTTTGCGGATGTACTTGGTAGCTGCGGTAGTCGGCTTTTCTCTTTACTTGTTCATTGTCGCGGCAGTAGTGGGTTTTCCCTATTGAAGAAGCCGGCTTGCAAGCCAGGAACAAGGGACGAGAGCACAAGCCACTCACTCTTCATCCTCCCCGATCGTCATTCCTCCCCCTCCACACCCACCGTTGCCAACGAAAGTCTAACTGCGGCCCCTGGTTCGAACCAAGAGAACCCTGCCCCTCCTTGCCGGGAACTACACGGAAAACGATCCCATCTGCGCGGGTCGGTCTTTTGGTCAGGAGATCACAGTGGACCACTAATATTCAACGAATCTACTGCCGAAGCTCTTTCACATGTGGCCCTTGAGCACTCCTGTGCCCCTCCCGAGCCGTTGCTGGCGTCATACCAGTACATGTGATGGCTACAAAAGCACGGGGAGTGGGTGTAACCCTTTACTAAGAATGTGCCTTTTGGGTCAGTTCTCGATCCTTACCTTGGCTGCCATTGAAAGACCGTTACAACACCCTGGGAAATGTGTCGATTGACGGTACGAACCTCGGAGGGTTGGTACCATGCCTAGGTGGTTTGGCATTGGGCATTGAAGAAATAAAAGTATCAGATGAGAAAGCGATGGAATGTCGTTGTGACACTGGGACAAGTTCTAATGCCGACGGTTTGCATGCTACAGGGTGCTCTGCGAAGAATGCCGCCAGTTTCGATAGGGCGAAGATTCATCACGCCAGGGGTTCTCAGCCTCGCCTCTCCTCGCCTAACCACCAGTCATCATGTCATCCTGTGTACTCGGTAGACTCATCCAACGATCCATGGAATCGCTTCAACTATTAGCCTTGCTCTTTCCTTTCTTACTCCTTTTCTTCTCCGTCTTGTCCTTGTCGGCACCCGTATGCTTGGCCTCCGCGTCATCCACCAAGCTTTTGTCTTCCTTGCCTCCACTCTGTCGACCTCCGCTGCCGATCTTCTCTAGAATGATTGCCGCACCTCTGTTCTGTCCGTCTAGCTTCCCCATGTTTCTTCTCAGCACACCCATTAGTTCTTCTTTCATCGAAAAGTTCTCAGCCTCTGACATGGCCACAATAACGAAACTATTGGGTCCATTTGCCCAGGCCACGAGTTCCTCGTCCCCGCCCTTCGATCGGATCTTTTGAAATAACAACTCGTCAAATTTCAAAGGAGGATCGATCAGTTGGATCGAGTTCGTCGTTTTGTTGAAGCGTCCACCTTGTACGAGAGCCTTGAGCATGCGGCCCACTGCTGGCATAGCAAGAAGCTTGTCGGTTTCTTCTTGCTGTTCTTTCTCCTCAGGCGCCTCGGTTGCCAAATCGGCAATCGCACCTAAAGCGCCCTGTACATCACCAACCCCAGCACAACCAAACACTACCTCGGTAATGAACTGACAACCAAAAGTCGACTGTGCGAGATGACGCACTTGGTGTGTGATGAGGTCGAGGAGAGGCTGGGCAATGTTCTTCACCAATTCAATGCGGCGTGTCTCTGGATCCTTCTTGGATGTTTCTTTGCGGATCTCACGAACCTCCGAGATGAGTGCAGCTGTTTCATTCCCTAGAAGCCACTTTGGTGCCTCAGGGGACATGAGATAAAGCAGCGGAATACGCGCGGTAAGGTGTTCCGTCTGTGCGAGCAACTCCTGCTCCCTTGCTTCAATTTCAAGGTCTTTGCTCAGAAGTTCCGGAAAGATGGTCTTTGAAGTCATCACAGTATCATCAACAACTTCATACGCCGTCAACAGCACACTGTGACCATACTGGTCGCCCGCGAGGAGTTTGATGTGCGTCTTGAAAAACTTCAATATGCCCCTTCGATCCTTTGAGTTCCCGTGGGCTAGGCAAAGACACAGCAATCGAGACCCTGACTTTGTGAAAGCGAGGTTCTTGTAGATGTCTCCTTCCTCGTCATCGCGGAGCATGGAGAAGAATTCAGTGACTTCTGGACTCCCGGGTTTGCAATTCAAAAAGTACTGGAGCAGGGCGTCATGAAGGATCGTAAAACCTGTGGTCTTCTTTTGAACAAGCTGGTTCGTCATTTCGTGCAGATGAGACATGATGGGGTTTCTCTTTTCGGGGTGCTCGGCAAGAATGTCGGAAAGTACACCTGTTACTTGCTCATCTCTCGATGTGTTGCCCGTCTGTGACTTGCCGAAGATGACAAACTCCGGGCCGTACCATTCTCTGAGCATGATGGCCTTTTGATGCTTCGTTGCAATGGTCCTGTAGATGTCGTCCACGATCCAACTTGCTTCAGGATGGCGGATCAGTCTTTTCACGTGGCCGTAGAATTCTTCGACGACAGCATCCCGACTTTCATCGTCACCCACGACCATCTTTGCTATTAAGAACTTGGCATATTTGGACTCGGCCAGCTCTCTGTAACTTCCCTTCAACTCTGTTGTAATCTGTTTTCTCTGGTCCGGAGTCGCATATTTCAAGGCACATTGGATAACCCGCACAGAATCATGTTTGAACACGAAATCCTTGACACGCCCTGATATGATCTGAAAGAGTTCTGTGACTAACTCGTCCCGTTCTTGCTTGGGAACGTGGGATTTGCGACGCAGTCGCTCCCATATCTTCTTTGACCGAGCGATGGAGTCGGCGTGAGGTTTGGCAGCCTTGCGGCCTTGTGCGAGGGCCTTTTGCTTCGCGTGGGCTTCGCGAGAGGTCTGGCCTATTTACGCATTTGAAGTCAGCAACGACGGATCTCTGTCTCGGCTCCGATAGAGGCGGTGTGCTCATGCACATACCATTTAAAAAAGTTTCTGATTTTTCAGACGCATTCTGAGTCGTAGATCCATACCTCCCCTCGGATCTCTTCGAAGTTCCTTTTATTGAGTCCGCCGCCGAAGTGTTCTTTGCCTGGTCGAAGGCTTCAGCTCCTTGCGCAGGCGCATCCGTGGCTCTTGAGTGACCCTTGTTCAGTCTGGCCCTTTTGGAGGCTGTAGAGTCGGAACCCTCATTTTGCCGCTTGCTTGCTGCCATGTTGAATCTGTGTTCGGTCACTGGCAGTTCTGTGCGGTCAGTTGACTTAGCACCATGGAAATCATCGAACTTTTTTTTTGAGAGGGTCGAATTTCTGGCAAACAGGACAAACAAGGCAAAAGTCGATAGTTTGGTGCTTGGCGTATTTCTCTGTTTACAGTACATACGGTGCCCACCCCACGTTGGACGGTGGGCCATGGTCCTTTGGAGGGAGCGGAAGATCTACTCCGTACTATATAGGCCATGCGGAGTCCTCAACGATACTGAATCTTCCTCTATTTCTTCTCTGTGTGCTTTTCGGGCATGAACTCCGAAACCTGACATCCCTCGGTCTTGTCGTCATCCACTCCATTTAAAAATCTACGAGAACTTTGGAAATCAACCCCCTGGCTCTGTGAGTACCTGTTTTCTCCGCTTCAATCCACCCCTTTTACTTGCTGTAGTCTATCCACGATTCTCTATTGTAACTAGCCACAAGTCGACTTTGATCACTGCGGGGGAAAAGTGTCGAGCACGCGCCTAGTGCGCGAAGCGGAAGTCCAGCCTCTTGTTTCCTGCGTCCGTCGTGGTTTCGAGATAGTGGAGTCGCTCCTGCAAACGCGTGGGTCAGCAAAGACTGCCTGATTTGGTCTCGTGTGGAGCGAGAAAAATAATGTACCTCTGAGCTCATCGCATTCCATTTCTTCTCGCGGGTGTGGTTGCGCCAGATGTAGTAGAGCTTGACACACCCGTACAATCCGATGGTTCCCGCGCAGATGGCAGTCAGTTGCCTATTGCCTCGCCGATCTGTAGAAATCCACGGTCAGCCATGTACGACGTAAGAAAGAAAGATCACGAAGATCGTCGTTCCGCCCGGTGGGGGAGCTAGGTTCAGCAATTGGTTTTTGGCGGGTGGGTGGTTGGAGAGGAGACAAGGCGGAAGACTCACAAACAGGACGGTCATCGGCGCGATAGATGTTGGAAAGGGCAATTCCGCCAACCTGTACAAACATGCTAATTCAAGAGTTAGCTCAATGGACTGGGCGACGAGAAGGGAAAGGGGGATACTCACTTGTACAAAGCCGCAGAGACAGTCCTAGTTCGGACCGTGTTGGAATTCCGACTGCACCATCCCACTTGCAGAGCATGAGCTGTTGGTCACCGTTAGCCATCTGGAGGGCCGTGTTTTGTGGCGGGGTCATGGCAGGGAGGACACAACTTACGGGAGGGCCATCCCAGCAAGACGGTCGTTATGGCATATTTCGCCCACGCTGAAGTGGTGGCCGGGATTACCGCCAGCGCGATGATATTCGGAAGAATCCAAAGTTGTCCAATAGCGCCCATCAGGGCTCTCTCATTCAAGGTCTCGGACAAATAGGTCAAGATCAACATCTGCACCGCGGTCAGCTTAGTGAGCTCAGAGTCGCGGCAAGAGCGGAGAAGAGTTCGCGACTCACAGTGACGGCGCCAATGAATTGGGTCGGAATGGTCAGCAGATTGGAATCCATGGTCCCAAATCCCAAATTTCGAAGGGTGAGAGTCAGGTATTGGTCTGGTGGGCCGGCTGGAATGTTGAAGATCAGCCCGATGAGGTAGATGGGCCACAGATCATAGTCCTTCAGAGACTTCCAGAGAAGTTTAAAATCCACGGCCTGCCGATTGTGCATATCGCCCTTGGAAGGGTCATCGCGCAGGATCCGGTTGACCATGATGACTTCCTCACGTTCGCTGAACCAACCTTTGGGACGGTACCAAGACTTGGTCTGGGTCGGAGATGCCGCCATCATGAACCAGGACCAGATACCCACCACCAGGGTGAAGAGGCCCTCGATCAAGAAGAGCCATCTCCAACCTTCGTAGCCGTGCACGCCACGCAGACGCAAAAGACCGAACGCCAGGATAGGGGCGATGATGTCAACGACTCGTAGTGTAACCCAGAACAAGGCCAGGCGGAAAGGAAGCTCCGAGCCTTTGAAGAAGTAGGACTGCAGAATATGGGTTAGCAACCACCTAGAATTCAAGTATAGACGTTGATCGGAGGACAGGGCATATACGTACCAAGTACAGGATCACATCGGGGATAAACCCTCCTTGAAGCATGCCTAACAGAGCGCGGCAAGCCAAGAAGCTCGACCTCCCGCTGAGCCAGAACTGAGACGCAGCAACAATGCTCCACAAGCACATGATGGTAGGTATCTGAAACAAATCAGTAAGGAAACTTCTCCATTGGTGTGCGAACATACCCATCGGTCCGGTCCTGTCGGCGGGTCAGCATGAGCGAGTCATTTCACTAAGGTATATGTCCGTACCTAATTTCTTGCTGACTAGTTGAGATGGAAGTTCAGCGCAGAGAAACGACACTCGGAAGACGGTGTTGCCCAGGTTGAAGTCTAGCACCCAATCAGACCCTCGTCGGCACTGCCAAATGTAGCAAACTACCTACCATTGGTTGATAGACTCAAGTCTTCCAAGAAGTTGTCTGTATTGGCTTGGCTGAGGTTGCCTCTGTCGAGGTCCAGCGCAAAGAATGCGATGCAGGCCCAGGTGGTGACCTTCCAATCGATCTTGTTGATTAGTGGCTGCGCGATAACTCGTTAGCCCAGCTACGACAACCATGCTCCAACGTGGTCACTGACTAGCTCTTCCGCCCAGGTCCATCGTGCACTGGGGTCAAACCTATGCAGATTCTCATATTTCGCCGTGGGCTGGAAGTACTTTGCGGTTGCCGGGTCATCATAGATGGATGGCTGGGTTGCGATTTGCTGGAGATCACGGTGTTGTTTCTTCCTCCAGAGAGTTGTGATGGGAAGCGTCGGCGGTACCGTCTTCTCAAGCTCATGCTGGGCAAGAATTCTTTCGCGGACCGCCTCCAGCTTCTCCTCCTGATCTTCAGGAGTGCCGCGCACTTCTGGAGTCGAGGCAGAGATTGGAGTGTCTGTCCAAACAGCTTCTTTCTTCTCTGAACTCATATTGGCCACCTAACTGCAGTAGAGCGAGGAAGATTCCTGCTTGTCTTTGCCTGTAATTTTGAGTACAAGATGAACAAACTCGGGACAGGCATGAGAGTGGTGGGCTTAAATACACCCTCGTGCTGGGGACTTCGGAACCACATGGATGAATGCCATGCAACTTCATGCATGGTGTAAATTTTGTGAATATGTCGCGATAGACAGGATGGCAAGTCTGGAATGCCTAGGACTTCGATTCTGCATATACTCCAGTGATCAACGGCCTGATTCTGCAGTGATAACGAGACCCTTGGTTTGGCGGAAGTCGAGCGGAGGCGGCCAAAATATGCCCAGAACTTGGCATTGGTGAGTGCAATGCTAGGCATAATGACGAGCTCACCAGACAACATTATGCAGGGCGGAACTGCTTCAGAACGATGGGTTTGGTCGAATTTTCACTTCCAGGATCAAGGATCCCACGTTTGTCGTAGAGGCGACAAACCTTTCAAGAGCGACCAGCTCCTCGGGACAGCGGCGAATCAACCCTTACAGTCCTGCATCTATTTTGAAGCTGGAATTTCCAGCGAGGTACCACTGTAGTGTCAGACACCACCGTGGTTCAAGCTGAACACACTGTCACAAGTGGCAACGGGCATTTTCAGAAGCAGGACCAACACCATCCTTCAACAGCTCGCAATGGAGATTCCGAGGAGCTGGCCACTCAAGACATGTTGAAAGGTAGGAACTGATGTGTACTGCGTATTGTTTCACACGCTCTGACTTTATGGTCATCGCCTTGGTCTTCTCCCTCGGCATCTTCTTCAGAGAGGAGATGAGAAGTTCACATTGGCCTTGGATGATGGTGGAGGATCCTCCGGCGTCTAGTCCACCATTCACGCCAATCAACAGGTGACAATTTGGCATCATGTCTGAGATAGACCCAAGATAGCATTCAGGCTCCGGATCCATAATTCGATTCATAGTGATTTCATTCTTAGCTTCGTCGGGGGTTGGCTCACAAAGTCCCTCGAGCAAATTGACTCGGCAATTCTCGAGTCAAGCATCTTCTCCACGTGAGCGTCAAATCGTGAGTAGCCTTCCCAAGATTCGTTCATGGAGTCGTTCATGGCTTCTTCAACTTCCATAATAGGTAGCATGATAAGTAGTACCGAGTAAATAGGTGGGAGATAGTAGAGCCGCGAGGTGTGTTTAATTATACTAAGAACTAACAACTGTTAAAACGAGCGAACGACCTCATAACTAACACAAATAGTCAAAAAGGGTTTAGCTGTCTTTTGAAGATTTGTCTTTTCTAATGTAGACTAGCGTGATTATAGGGGTGACCACAGTCGCTGACTAAGACAAGAAAGGTACCCCTGTTGGGGGCCTGTGGGTGCCCAAGGTGCCCTGTCGTGCCTGCGTCCTCTGCAACCAGCTTGCCAGGTAGATTTTTGATTGCAACGTCATTGCCTCGTAATATTATCTTGCAAGCTCCAATTTTTTCTCAACTCTTGGCCGCACCTTGCTGCACCTCGCCGTACCTTGCTGCAGCCAACACCCTCCAGCACCAAATTTATTCCAATGACATGAGAAGTGTCAGACGCCCCTGGGGATGCCACTCTTGAGCTGGCCAGTTGTGAGGAGCCTAAGCTTTGTCCGTGAATGGGCTGTCAGCCGATTGCAATTATTCACAGATTGAATGTTGTCGGTTGTGTTACACTGGACTCCAAATACTAGCAAAGTGAGGTTTGAGATACCTTGAACGTGCTCGGAAAATGGGGAACGTGGGTGTTGGTCTGGGCACAACTGGGGCATGCCGAATCGAACAGATGCTCGCTCGGTAATTACAAGGCATCAAGAGCCCACAGGTCTTGGCTCATTACGCCTTGAACACGACTGATGCGCGGTTGATGCACGAGCAAAAGATGCCGGTCTTGCACCTATCAGTACGCTCGAGTATCTGAAGCCTCCACTACTGTCAGGGGACATGTCCTGCAAGGCAACGAGCGAGTGGATCTTATGCCTCAGTAGGACGCAACCATCCCTGTCTCATGACCACGGAATTGTTCTGCTGGGAACGTGGCGTCTTCAGATCCCAACGACATGCGATACTACAACGGTGAACCTAGAACACCCGCGACTCGATTTCTTGCAACAACATTTATCAAAGGTGTTCAATGGGAAAACCGTAGTGCTCCATGGCGTCGGTGCTGTCTTTCGTTAACCCACCGACTATGGAGCCATCGGGTTTGCCATTCGCTCGAGGAGCTCTTCATTATTCGCCCGAATACGGTGCCTGAATAGGCGAAGCAGATCACGTCCTATTAGACCTTCCAACACCTCCGAAACGGGGTTCATAGCGTTGGCCTGCATGCATCAGGGGTTTCATCTTTGGATATCATCCTCTCTCATTGCTCGTACTTGAAGTTTGATGCATGTCAGCTACCAACTATTCATCACTGTTCGCCTTGGATCAGTACCGACCGCTCAGCCTCACCAGTCTTCAGGCTCTGCTGGCTAAGAGCATTGTTCAAGGGCTGCACAAAGGAGTGGGCCCTTTAATCGGGATTGTGTGGAAGGGACTGATTAACTGCGTTGGTTCATCTTGGGTGGTCCACGGCACTATACAATGCACACTGAGACCGGATTCAACTGTTTGAAGACCTTTCACTTGTCTACCTCTCCTTTCTTTCACTCCCGTCGTCTTTGTTGCGCTTCGACCACAACTCGCTCCTTGTGTGGCTCACGCTCATCGATTCACCTAGAATACGTGATACGATCTGACAAGTCAAATTTGTCTCAAACCATTCTTTTGTCTGGCTTATTTGATGCTCTTGCCTCCGGTGGCCTTTCTGAGTCTTACTAAGTCTGGACCGCGAACTGCAACATGGATCCCAGCAAACCCGGATTTCCTCTAAGCTGGCAAAGGCAATCACCGGCTCAGCCTTTCATGATGTCACCTGCGACGGAGTCGTCCAGTCAGTTCGAGCTTTCTCATATGGGATCCGGTAGCCCTTACTACGATCATCAATTGGCCGGAGGTGATGTGAGAAAAATATTACAACGCTTTCGGTTCGATGGACTGGCCCGTTCAACCATCTTATATCTTCTCAGGCCGGAAAATATCATCCAGTTCTCCAAAATAGCCACGGTGAATAAAATCGTCCTCCAAACCGAATTAGATCGCGTCTATCCAGAGCAGTTGCGGTCGAATGCACCGAGATTAACTCAGGCGCCGGAAATGTGTTATCCATTTGGTGTTCCTAATCTCGGCTCTAGCCAATCTCAATTGTCGACCTCGACAGACCCGGGCACCGCCACAACCGAATTTTACACGCCAGAACTCGGAAGCCAGTTTCAAGGACGAAATCTGCATCCGAATTGGATGTCTCCTCCGGAAGGGATGAAGGCGATGACTTCTAGGGATACGGCCATTCACAGGAACAATCCCCCGATCGCCTTGACGAACACCCGCTCTGCGCAGCCTCAAGGGCTGGATTCGCTTCTGGCCCCAAACCCAACAATGATAGCCTCTTCGTATCTCCAATATCCCCTATCAGATGCTCCGAGACCGTCTGATGTTGCCAATGCTGGCATGCATAACATGGCGCCGAATTCTACAATCTACTACAGCACAGGTGGAAACCCAGTACTAGGATATGAATCACTGGTGGATATCGCTGGTTCGACTCATCTGCTAGGCCACGAAAGCACCGCTAAAAAGGACCAGGACAAGTATCCCTGTTCGGAGCCAGGTTGTTCAAAGGAGTTTGTGCGCCCAGTCGAGCTGAGGAACCACTTGAAAGGGGACCACGAACAGGACGACACCTACTTCTGTCAACACCAAGATTGTACCTTCGAGAATCACCGGCATGCGTCCTGGGCACGACACCACAGCAGGGAACACAACTCATGCAAGAAGGGCGACGCGTGTGTCAAGACCACCCACAAGCGAAAGAAAATGTACTGGGGCTGTTCGATCTGTGTGCACCTGTCGATCGATGTGACCTCCCATGTTGAACACCACCTGCGTCATTTCAAGGACGGATCGACACGATCTAGCGATATCAAATATTCCACCATGATTCTGAGCCTGCTCTCCCAAGAAGCAACCCAGGATGAATGGGAAGAACGCTGCAAGGGGATGTCCATCCAGGATGGTAAATATCACCGTTCGCTGACGTCCTCCACCTGCGGGAACATTCGAGAGGCGCTCGAGTATGGGAAGTATCGAGACCTCGATCTTTCCCAGCCTAATGTTGCAGATCAACTCCTGGACGAAGTGGTTAGCTTGATATCCCGCAAACGCAAAAGGGACGTGTCTGGTATGCCGAATCTCGACAACTCATATTATGCCTTGTCGTACCCTGGTCCCAGTCCCGCGAACAATGATACAGTTTTCTTCAATGCCAATCCCGGATTCGATGAACCCTACTGACCGATGGTCTCCTGAGGATTGCGACACCCTCAATCCTCCTCACGTCAACGCTTTCTGGGTTCCTATCGACCCATTTCCCCTATTGTCAAATGCTCTGGATCCTCGCCTGTGAGGTGATGGATCATTTAGCAAATTCCCTTGGACTTTTTTGGTTCCTCAATTCACTTCACGTTTTCCAATCAACGAGCCAGTACAACATCAACGCTCTTACGATTCACAGAAACCTCCGAGATGGACAAGCCCCAGAATACTTAACGATACCCAGTCATGTATTCATAAGCCTACGGGTTGTCCCATTATTGTTATTGTGGAATGGAATGAGTTGTGTGGACCTTGTACCTCTACCTGTATTATTATACTATATTTTGTCAACGGTATTGGGAATGTGGACGCTTTCTCCAGGTATGCGATTTTCTAGCATGTTAATAGGATCTTTTCTTTTTCTTTTTTTTTGGCTTTTGAAATCCTTTACGTGCCACAAAGTGCTCACCGCCTCATTCCTTTTCGACACATAAGCGAGGATTGAGGCTCTTCTTGTATGCGTTGTCATAAAGTTTGAGTAGCGTTTTGGTCAAGCGAAACGGTCCGTTTCTTAATCAGTGGCTCCTCTTTGGCTTGCTTGGTGGAGTGACTTACGGGAATACATATCCTTACCGAGTACTGGAGACTTGTCCATTGATGACAGCCCCGACAAAGTAAGGGGCCACTAGGGCATTGCCGGTGGCCACTTCGGGCCCCAAAGGCCTAGAAGCCAAGGTGCTCCAGGCCTCCTTCTTAGGTACATACCTAGGTAGGTAGGTACGTAGAATTCAAGGTTGCGTGTGCCTGGATGCCGGGCACCTGGAGCCCCTCCGGAAACTCCCCGGAGACTTTCCGGCAGTTCAATGGGCTGTTCCTGAGAACCCCCAATATGCACCCCAGGCACTTACTTCATCTGGAGATCCCACCTTCCACGCAGAACTCACACGGCAGCCCTTCTATTCTACCAACCCCTTTACCACCTGCAGTCTTCGAGGTAGTGGTGGACACTCGTATCCGTCTTGCTCCCACCCTCTTTTCCCCTGACGTGTCCTCAACGTCCTCGTCCCCTACTGGCTGCATCCCATTTTTTACCCACACAATTCTGCTCATGTTCCGCTCATTCAGCTCGCGCCTGGAATCCACACCCCCTTCCCAAAGGGGCTTGGAGAAGGCTGAGAAGCACTTTTACGTTACAGGTGAGATGGAGCCCACCATGGACACTAGCTCATGAATGTTGTGCAGTTATCGGCTCGGCAGCCTAGGGAGGGAAGCGACATCTGAATCCTTCGAATTCGCCCGGTTTCAGCCTTACTTATCCTCCATTCTGGATGTCCGGAACTTGAAAACATGGCTTCTGGAGGCGACACCATGACAGGAGGCACGGTAAATTGCCGCAGTCGTCAAGAGCTTGGAGGACAAATCACGAGCGAAAATGGTTTCCTCAACAATGGATTGGTGGACTGAAAATGGAGTTCCCTGCTGTGTAACCCACGGGCGCTTGCTGAACTCTCCCAATGACACCTTTCTCGGAGAAAGAAATACGAGCTCTGCTGGGTACAGAACCCTCCCTTGTCTTTGTGGGACGTCATGTGCGCTTGTCGAAATACGGGGCTGCAACAGCTCGTCAACGCCTGAAGAAAAGGATGGTGCGCAGGATCGGTGGCTTCTGCAGCTGTCGTCAAGGACATCTTTACCGACAACAGCGCGCCCATTGACTCTTGCTCCTCCCTGGCTCCAGATCCGGTATCCTTCATTCAAGGCGTTGCATTCAGCCCAGGACAACCCACCCCTTTTCACCGTCCACCAGTCAAAGCCCTGTTCCTGAGTGTGTAGGGAAAGCCGCCTTCTGTCCTGCCGTTGCGAGCATTTGGCTCGAAGTGGAAAGGTGCCAGTGGCGCCTTGGATACCCCATTGATCCTCCTTGCTGTGGCAGGGGTCCCACGGCAGAGAGTGCTCAAAAGCACCCCCCTCAATACGAGAGTGCTGTGAAATCGGGCAAATGCTGGACGAATGACCAGCATAGACTTTTCTCAAACCTTTCTTTTTCCCTCCTTGAATGCACCACCACGATGGGTCTAATACGTGTCGCACATGTGATGGTGGGCAGCTGCTCGTTGAAAGCGGAGTGAGGCTCAACTCGCAAAACTATCTGCGCTCACCACCCCCCATGAATTCCTGTAATTGACCCCGTATCTCTTTTTCTCTTCTCACGTTCAAATCCTCCTCCCTTATCCTCTGCCTGGTAGGCCTGGAAACATTCTCTCTTTTTCTTATTGCTAAGACGGTGCTTTGTGGGTTGCTTCCACTCTTTTCAGCGCGTTGGATATCTGATACTCGACCTGTCGACCCTCGCCTTCATTTCGACCAGTTCTGCGCCGGCGCAGCCCTATCCAGTCATTCCCACCCAGCCTGCAAAAGAGATACGTTCATTGTAATCACGGTCAACGGCTGCAATGGATCATATCTCGAACAATCGTTCCTACATGCAATACCAATCCTGTCCCCCGGGCGCCTTTGGTGGCGCCTCGTTTCCGTCCCAACTCACCAATTTCAGTCTGCACACATTCAATGGTGATGAAGAGCTCACACAAGGGCCAGATATTGTCAAAAATGTTCAGTTGCTGCTCGATGCAGGCCTGGACCTGCGCACAATTTTCAAACTGCGGCAAATCAAATATCGAAATGCCCTGAACATACTAGCCGACGCAGAAGACGACGAGCTTTGTGCCACGTGTGAACATGCTGGGCTTACGCAGCCCCGACAACTACCTCAGCAGATCAGAGGGCGACTGTCACAAGGCTCCTCTGTCTACCCTCACTCCCGAGTCCCCAGCCTGATTTCCGATCGATCCGGCCTCAGGTCTTCTGGCATCCTCAGCACACCTGTCCAAGATCTTCCTCCCTCCAGACTTGGGTATGCGAGTGATATGTCACCCATGGCTGCGCAGTGGGCCTGGGGAGATGAGATGTCTTGTGTATCTACCAAGTGCACTCAGGACTCAACCATGGACTACTTGACAAGTGGCGAGGAACAACAGAGTTATCCACTGGATCCACCATGCGTCAATGATGTGGGCGCCGCTTACTCGCAGCGGCAGTATGGCTTTTCCGCAGCCATGCCAGCTAAAGTCGAGTTGGCTTTCCAGGCCCCGGCTGCAAATGGATCTATCCCACAGATTGGAGGTGAACAAGGCTTTGTATTCACAGAAACTGCGATTCGAGCCCCCTTTATCGCCGAACAAAACCCAACACGGGACCAGAACGGGGTGAAAAAGTCTAGATTTCCATGTCCAGTACAAGATTGTCAGAAGGATTTCTCCAGCCCCAAAGAATTTGCAAAACACTTGATCGGAGACCACGACAGGGACTCCAAGTTCAGCTGCAACCATCTCAACTGCGCATTCTGGTCACATCGCCTCGCCTCCTGCAAAAGACACCACAGTAAGGCCCACAGCGATTGCCAAGTGACTAAGGATTGTACACACGTCAACCGCCTGAGAGTCAAGAAACACTGGGCCTGTGGCTTGTGCCTCAATTTGGAGGTTGGCGTGCATGAATTTGCCACCCACTACAAGAGCCACTTCGAATACGACGACATCCAGAAGAGCGACATCCGCGTCTCCAACATCATCCGCAGCCTGCTCATGCAGGATGCCACCAAGGACAAATGGGAGAGGCTCAACGTTGACGGGTACTATCCGCTGTCCTGGGATGGAAAAGACGTGGCAGAAATCCGCGAAGCACTCGAGTACGAAACCTACAGGGCGACCACTTTCGATGTGCCTGGTGTCGTCGATAGACTTCTTGAGGAGGTGATTGCTTGTGGCACCCACAGTGGGTGAGGCTATGTCCCTGCGCTCCTCGACTATCGCCAGCAAAAGACAATGCCGTACAGATGACATTGTTCACGAGTCCGTCCCTACCATTGTCATCTCCAGCCGCCTCTCGACGGATGTGGCCCCGGCCACTCAGCTTGATGACATTTATTTCTCCGTCTTCCCTTTCCACACCACTGTATTGCTAGCAGACCCTCTATTTCCTTTTAATCTGCTTGCCGATTCTATACCTGGCTCGCAAAGAGCTTTACAAAGAGATACACTCCAAGCTGGATCTTGGAGAGAGAGAAAAAAAAAGAAGAGCTGATGGCCAACTGGTTATAGAAGGGGAGGACGGATTATACCCTGGTTGCTTGTTTCTTGTTTCTCGTGTGTTTTGTCCTGTATTATTACCACCACCCCCTTGTCCCACCGTCGTTATCATCACCATCACCATCATCATCATCACCACCACCACCACCACGACGGCTATCACCGACGGACATATTGTCTACTTACTATTCATGGTGTTTACTCATTCACCTTTTGCTATTCACTTGTATCCCCCCACCACCATCCCCTTTCCCATACCCATACCCACATCTCACACCGAAGCTCCAAAGATCCCTTCCCCTTCCCTTCCCCCTTCCCCTTCCCACTCGCCCTGAAAACCCCATGACACCTAGGTTTTATTTCTGTTTCTGTTTGCAAACAGCGCGGTGTTTCTCAGGAGGTTCTTTGGTTCTCTGGTGGCCATGTATGTATCTACGTATTATGCGTTATGCGTTATGTATGTATGTATGTATGTATGCGTGCGTGCCTGCATGCATGTATGGGAGTCGAGCGTCGTCGTGGGCCAGGAAGCCCTAGCCGGCCGGCCGGCCAGCTGGTTTTTTTAATCCATGACACTTGATGAATGATCCATGATCCATGATGAATGATACATATTACTTTCAAGCGATCTATCAGCAGACTAGTCAAGCGAGCTCTCGCTGGCTCTGTCTGGCTCTGGTTCTAGCTACATAGCTTGGTTCTCTGTCCTTGTCTGTCTTGTTTTTTTTTTTTCTCTTTCTTTCTTTCTTTCTTATGACTGACGCTGGTGGAGAAGAATTGAAGTGAATCAACTTCTTCCGTTTGTTGTGTGAGGGCTTGGTGCTTCTACAA